GGCGGCGGCGGGGGCGGCGGCGGGCGGCCAGCAGGCGGCCGCGGGCATGGGCTTGGGCAAGGACATGGGCGCCCAGTACGCCGCTGCCAGCCCGGCCTGGGCGGCCGCGCAACAAAGGAGCCACCCGGCGATGAGCCCCGGCACCCCCGGCCCGACCATGGGCAGATCCCAGGTAACCCCCGCGCCGGCCGGGCCTGCTTCCGCCGCGGCGGCCTCGCCGCGCGCCTCGAGCCCTAGTTTCTTTCTCTCCGCGTACTTTTTCTGCGTCTTCTGCCGGGGGGGAGGCGGGGGCGAGGCGCCCAAAGCCATTTTAACTCGCGGCTGCCTCCCTCGGAGGCTGGGGAGCGCGCGGCGCCCGACTGCGCGGCCCGGGCCCCGGGGGCCTGGGGGAAGAGGGTCTCGCCGAGGGCCGGGACGCGCGCTGCGATGGCCGGCCGCCGAGCACCCCCGCCTCGCCACCCCACTCCGGGCGCGGAGCCGCGCGTCCGGAGCCGGGGACCGCGCGGCGAGGCAGCGGCGTGGGCGCCGGGGACGGCTCGGGCGGCTTTTGTAACAAAATAGGCGCTCCCGGCCGGTACGGTGCGGGGAGGAATATTGACCCCGTCTTCTCGGTTAGCGCCAACAATAAGCTTTAACTGGGAAAAGAATGAGGAACTTTGTCCTACCTCCAGCCACACCGCGTTCCCTCTTAGCCTGCAAGGTGAAGGCAGGAAAAATAGGTTAGCTTTGTGGCAAACCCAGTGTGTTTTTCGTAGTTCTGCCCGGCCATTCAGAGATACTCGATGCGAGCTTTGAGTTTGGATGTTTCGTAGCGAAAAGAATGCCCCAATTTACAGCGACGTGGAGGTAAAATATTCTAAAATAAATCGATTCCTTCCTGAGAATAGCCAGGAAATCCATTATTTGGCTTATAGGCTGCTGGAAAGGAGTCACCTTCAACAGATAGGCTACGTTAAAGGGACACATCCTGGTTAAGTTGAACTTATTTTGGTCATGGAACAGGCATACGTTTTATTCAGCAAGTCCAGGAAAATAGCAGGCCAGTGAAAATTGATCTTTTTGGATCAGATTTATTTGGATTTTCTTTAATTTGCTGTCCCCCAAGTCCTACGGCGTTATTAGGAAGTGTCCTGCACTCTTGCTGTTTCTTGCTCGTAGGCTGAGCCTAAAGACTGACTTGATCTCCTTTGCAAGGTTTGGAATTTGAATTGTGGAGGTAAACTGGCTGTAATAGTCTCCAGACAGCTGCCTCTGAGTTGACATCTAATCTGCCATCTGATTGGCTCCCCTCTCACCATTGGGCATTTAGCACTGCTGATGTAAATAGAAGTGCTGAGCAGTACAGTCACAAAAATTCTTGCCACAAATAATAACTGAGCTCTATTACAAGCAGATGTAAGGTTGAATATTATTTAAAGCTTAAGTTATTATGAATCATAGTTATTAATAAGAGGATTAAATCCTGAAAACATTATGCTGGTGTCCAGTATTGGGCATTTACAAAAATCAGGTCTTTGACAGTCTTAATGTGGACACTGCATATATCACGGACTTGAATTGTAGTATGAAGATGTGGCAATTGAAATGTAATGAAGCCAAAAATTTTAGCAATTTTTGGATTTGCAAAGCGTTTATTGAAGTGCCCTTTCCAGATTAAACTGTGGGGGAAAAATGTGAATTGTCAGCACATGTAGTTTAGTGTAAAATTAAAAATGATAACATTTCAAGATCCTGATATGCAGCGGTCTCTTTTAGGGATATTGAATTAGCTTTATAACAAGATTAAAGCTGTATTTCTAGTAATTTATGTTGTAACGGTGCTGATCATTTAACATGTGGATAAGGAGTTTCAATTGAATTGACATAAGCATGAAGTGAGGAAACTATAATTTTGTACACAAGAATTAATCAAAGGGGAAACATGGATAATCTTGTGAAATACTGAAAATTATTTCATTATTTTCTTCTTGATTATTTTGTTGGCTTCGGTGGTGTGACCCTTATTTGAAGTGCTTACACATGTATTAGGGAAACTATCTCATGCAAGCTGTTCTGGGTGTGTTTCTTCCAAATAATCTTTCTTTTGTAGACATCTTAAATGCTGTGAAAGTTTTTAAAATCCTCATTTGTTAGGAAGGAATAACAGCGGTTGTAATCTACTTAGCTTATTTATTTTAGGAAGGCGTATTTTAATAACAGTCATATCTTAGGGGAGAGACTCGTCAGAGTGAACACAGGACTGAATTTAACAGATAATCCTGTGAATCCCTGGCCGAGGACATTAGTGTCCACTGGCTTTCAAATCTTTGGTTACTGGAGTTTAACTTTTAATGAGAATGTATTTTCCTGCTCTTGATAGAAAACTTGTGATTATCAATTTTCATTTTTGATGCACACAAGTGAAAACACAGAGGAGGCTCGTGTAACTAAACCCACATAATTAATTTTAAAAAGATTTGCTTTGTCAGCTTGCTTTTAAAGGGATAGTTTAAAATTCCCATCTTGGTAAACTAGAACGGAGAGATGATAGAGGCAGATGTAGGTCCTTGTTACTTTAAAGTATTATTTCTTAATGGTACCAATCATTTTAAGTATTTTGTTTTCTTGGAATGAGAGTGAATCCATTATGTCCTCGGTGTGACCCTTGGGAATAGCTTTTTTATTTCTGAGGGGCAAGGAAACTGCTGGGCATATGACCTAGATTCACAGATTTCTCTTAGGTACTTTGCCGTATAATGTGTGGAATGTGTCTTTTTTATGTATTTTCTTTTTGGGAAGCTAGTATTTATTTAGTATTTGTTGTGATCATTATATTAAGGCATAGTTATTTGTCCAAAATATTGAATCACTATGCCACTATAGGCCATAAAGTACTATTAAATCACGTTGTTAAATGATGAAATTTTCTTGTGGCTTTAGCACATTTAGTTTCATTTTTGATTTTAGGAATTGTTTATATTGGGCAGCAAATGTTTTTACAATTGGGAACAAAATATATCTGTATGTTGTATTGGGAAGGTCTTTTTAAAAAGTGAAATAAGCCATTTTATGATACAGTTTGTTGCTGGGTTTTTTTGTGAGCTAAAGTATTTCGATAGAGCAGTTCAAAAGGCGTACTGAGGTCTGCTCCTGTAAGTAATATTGTATAATGTCCACATCTGTGCCAAATTCCATTAATGCTATTTTCACTTCAGTTTAACAGAATATAACACAACGTAATAAAAAGAGCCTTATTTATCATTCAAAGAAGTGACTAGCTGGCTTACAAAGCAGGAAGTTACAGACTGGTTCCTGATGACCTTAAAATTTGTATAAGATACATTATAGCATAACATCATTCCCCACTTCCCCTCCCAGTGATATTTTACCCTATCTGATGTTTTAAACCTTGTAAAGAAATTGTTGTGCCCTGAATTAATATATTTGCTGAGATATGGCTGGCTGGCTGGCTGGCTGCTGTGTCGTCAGAGAATGTGGAATTGGCAGCTGTGGTTCATAGAAAAGGCCTAGCATTTAAAAAACCAAAACAAAATACATAGAAAATATTTACAGTTTTCTCTTTTCCTAGGTTACCTGGGAGGAAAGGGTGCGTGGTTTAAAATTGTTTTCTTTGGATATCCTGATTTCTGTGTGCTTAGTTTTGAGCATTTTATTTTGATGATAAGTACTCTTTAAGGCAGCTGTCACTTAAATTTACGTTTATATTAACATAAAATTGATAAGTATGTTCTAGGGAGCATCGTATTCTGGTCTTGGCTCTATGATGAGAAGCCTTAACTCCCCTTTTTACTTTGGTTGTGCTTTTTATCTGTATTTCAGAATCAATCTTTGGCAGGGCTTTTTCTGCTTGTTCCATTTTCCCCGGCATCATATTGTATCAGAATATCACAAGCGTGTTGTAGAGATGGAAATAATCCACATCACTCTCAGACACTTAAACTAATGTACCTTCCCTCTAAATATCATGTTATTCCATTAGAAATGAGAGAATAACATCTTCATGCTGGTATAAAAATAGTATTAATTCTGGTTTGAGGACCAATTTTGAAAATGTAAGACAGTGTAGAGGAAGGCTCATAAATTCATTTGGTAGTTTTATTAGACACACGTTTTAAAGAAAACAGGTGTAAGAGAATGGGGTTGAGTTTTCAGTTCTATTTCTTATTAATGGACTTTGTTACTTTATATTTTGGGGCAGAGTACATCTAAAAAAAAAAATGGCTTCTGATGTAATAGGAACTTACTTACTTCCATAGGATAAATACCTATATGACAGGCTAACTGAAAAGATGATCATTTCACTTATTTAACTCTTGTTCTCTCCTAGGATGAGAGTGGTTCGATTTAAAATTTGTTGGGGTCTCTGAAATTTTGCTACTTATTTTGAAGACTGATTTGGACATGTAAATTTTGGATGTATTGCACTGGGGACTGACTATATTAGCTTTTTGCCCAGCGTCGTAAATTTAGAGGTTTTTCTCACTATGCTAGACTGACACTGCTCAGTTAATGGATCTGTGTACTTTGATCCATCATTGAGGAAAAGGAACTAATAACTCACTTGTGTCACTTTCATTTTGGCCTGTGTGTAGTTTTGGAAGTTTGAAGCTTATATTTACATTTGAAAGAACTGTCATGTATCACTTAAACCAACAGATTTATGGAGGCTCAAAAGGAATGTTAATAAGACTCAAATTCCTTTAATTTTTTTCTTGCAATAATTAGATTTTCAAAGTGGATGTTACAAAATTTTTATGACATTTTATAATGCTGTTTATGCTTACGGGCCACTTGCACATCCTAGGCCTTTTTAGAATTGGATACTTGTTGGTCACAGGGTTTTCCTGAGGTGCCCTTTCTTCATCAGGATATTTGTGCAGATTCTCTGTGGATATGTGAAGGAGCACACCTGGCTGTATGTGTATGGGAGGCTGAGGGTTCTCTATTTGACTTCTCCGTGTGTGTGTGTGTGTGTGTGTGTGTGTGTGTGTGTGTGTGTGTGTGTATGTGTATAGGGAGGGGGAGAAGTACCGGGCACAACTGCTTACCCACTGAGGATGCGCATATATCACAGATGTACAACTATCAAACGATACTGCTTTTATAGTTCGGAGGCTATTTATACAAGATTAAGTGGCTCTTTTTGGTTTAATTGGATGACTGAATGATAAC